ATGGAGCATTCTTCCTTTGTTTTCTCAATTTGTTTCCGATCTGATCGAGATTACATCAAGTCCAATTCTTGACCATTTTCTCTACTTTCTTTTCACATTTTCATTCCATTTATCACTTCTTCTGGATAAATTTTTATTTGTCTCATTTTAGTCTTGTATATTAAACACCTCCAAAGGGATTTTCTTCGATTTACTCAACTGACTCTCTCTGCCCTCTCCATCAACCCAACCATTCAATTCCAGGCCCACTCTCAGTTCTGGTCCACTTGTGTCCATCTATTTGTACGTAAGTGAGGCATTTTTACATGGATCACTAGAATAAGATTTTTTTTTTCTTTAGGTCTCTTTTGCTGCAAGCTCAAGTTACAAAACACTACCTTCTTGAAGAGAAAACCAAGGGTTTTGCATAACAAACAAAGCCTTCTAAGTGGCTTCACTTAAGTACTATAAGTAGATTTCCATTTGTTCCTTTAAATCTTGTTTTTACTCTGTTTATGATGGATGTACACTGGGTTTGACACAGGAAACCACAGCTCCTTTGAGTGACGAGTGCCTCAATAATCAGAAATTGACAGCTTTGGTTCATAAATCTTGTTGCAATAGGTTTTAATTATATGTGCTATTGTCCCCGTCCAGGAAATGGATTCTTGATTTTATTTTTTTTAAACCGTGCCACTGAAAGAGTTCTGTTACCATGGTACAGATCATTCTGATGCCAGTCTAAATATGCTACTCACCATGGAGACTTAATTAACATGTGCTGTTCCTCTGAAAGAAAAAGACTCTTAACCCTACTGACAAACCTGGTAGCTTCCTGCTCTCTGAATCATAGTGCAACTAAATATGCTCTTTGGACCTCGTGCTTTAGTGTACAACTGTACCTCCTCCGTTTGACTCTCAAAGCAAGTAGTCTTCCAGCACCAGGTTGACCCTCTGTAGGGTCCCATACCAGGTCTCAGCTGCTGCACCATCTTTGATTGCCCAATTTTACTGTAAGGAGACTTAGACCTCCCACCCAAGTCAAGAGCTATGCAGAATGAAGGGATATAACAGAAAGTTCTAGCATGATGGAGAACAATATGATGCCTCTTAGCTTACATGTGCCATTTTGAATTGTCTGTCTGAGACTGAGCCACCTTTACCAACACGTCTCTGCTGCTGAGTACAGATCTTTCAAGATGGTTTTGATGTCACTTGTTCACCAAAGACAGAAAAATACCAGGAAATTTGAACAAAGTGCCAATTTTCTTCATTGTAGTGTGTTTCTGTAAAATGTAAATTTTATATTCCTGGAAAGATGTGTCATCGTATTACCTGTATCAATGGCTTTTATAACATTTTCTTCTGGGATGCCTGTTTACTCAGCCAATTCTCTAAACTGCTCACAGTTGTCCTCACTGATGTGTTTTTCTCCGCCTGCAAATCATACAAGGAAAGTCAGGAAGGGTTGTTCTGGTGTGTGCTTTCCAACACTGCCTAGCAATTCTTCCATTCTCAGCACACACTGACTTGGTGTTCTCAAATTTAAGTCAATCCTGACTCCATCCAACTGGATAGACTGTCAGATCCCATAGGTTAAGGACTCAATCCTAAAAGAGTACCCCTACCTCCCCACTTAGGAGTTCAATCACAAGTCCAGGTTGTCATGTGTGCCTCTGACTGGCTATAAATCATAGGTTCCCAAGACCTCCTTCTCCGTTTCAATTAATTTGCTAGAGTGCTTACAGAACTCAGGAAACCAGCTTACTTACTGTTTACTGGTTTATTACAAAGGATATTAAACGATATGAGTGAACAGCCAGATGAAGAGACAGAAAGGGCGAGGTCCAGAAGGATCTCGAACATAGGAGCTGCTGTTCTTGTGGAGTTGGGGATGTGCCACCTTCCCAACTTGTCGAAGAGTTCTGGCTCACTAACTTGGGAGCTCTCCTTTTGGGTTTTTTGGAAGCTTCATTACTTAGGCACGATTAATTAAATCACTAGCCACTGGTGATTGAATTCAACCTCCAACCCCTTTGCCCCCTCCCTTCTTCAGAGGTCTGGGTGGTGGGACTGAAAATTCCAACCCTCTAATTGGTTTCCCTGGCAACCAGCCCCCATTCTTAGGGGTTTTACAAATTCACCTCATTAACATAAATTCCGATGTGGTTGAAAGGGGCTTGCTATGAATAACAAAAGATGCTCCTTTCACCTTTATCCCTTTTATCAATTGGAAATTCCAAGGGTTTTAGGAGCTCTGGGCCAGAAATTTAGAAGATCCCATAATATCATATCATGTCATTTCTTATTATAAATCACAATATCTCCGATGTCCATTAGAATCCATAAGAAATTCTGAATAAGCTAGTGAGCTGAATGAGTGTGGAAAGCAGGTGTTAGGGTGATATAACTTGCCAGAATCCTAACATTTTGTATGTCACAGATGTCAATTGCACTGCTGAGGAATTTAAAGACAAATTTAATCGGTGACCATGAGTTTCCCCACATCAAATACAAGCTCCAAAGGCACATCAGGGGCACCATGAAGGTAGAAGCTGAGCAGTCATAATCCCAAACTGTAATTTCTCCTTTCCCTTCTACCATGCCCTGGTATTCCAATCTTGTTGCCTATCCAAAGGAACCCAAAAAGATGAGTTGAATATTCTGTCAGTAATATGAGTGTTGCCATGCATGGTGGTGGGAGAAACATTATGCAGAGTTGATTCTCATTATTCAGAGTAGCTATGCTCCATAAAGTCCCTGCAGACAGTGAATTGGCAGGTTCTGAACCTTAGCCCCTGGGGGAAATACATGGAAATACAGGACTAGGTTCCTTGGAGCCTCTGGTCACAACATTTTCATCAACTGATCAATATCTAACTGTTATGTGTTTCCGTTGAAAGACATCTTATTTAATATGTATTCTTGATTCATTAACATCAAACTCATGGACAACAACACAAGAACTCATGCCTGAAGGAAGCTCATCTAACACAAGTATTTTCTATTAAGCACATCACAACTTTCTTGCACTTGGGAATGCTAGAAAGCACTTTAGCACTATGCTTGGGGTCCATTTTAAAGTTAAATCATCAACCAAAAGCACAAAAATGTGAAAAGCGTGGCACTAGATAGATCACAAATAGGTACAGTATGAAGCTGAAACAAGAAGGCAGGGCATGGTCTTGTTTGACCTCAGCTGGGAACGTGCACGTGGGGCAACTCAAATGCTTTGCCGTTCTGCATACATCTATATATGACTGAAGTGCCCTGAGTATCTATTTTGGAGATGCAAATAAACTTACTGAGTTTGCAAATGCGGAATCTGTGAATAATGAGGATTGATGGTGTGGGGGAAGAGGAAGAATCTCAATACAGAGAGGGAGATACCTATACAAATGGAGATTTTCCTTATAAATGTAAATGTTTGTCTGGCAACTCCTTGCAGGGACATCTAGAGAATGTGGCCAGAGAGGCAGAATTTTTGATAAGATGGGCTTGTTGGCACCTTTCCTATTGTAACATCTATTTCACATTATATTACAGCCATCAGATAGTAACTCCTTCCTGGAACAGATCTTCCATGTCAAATTCTTTAGGCTGTTAGTGGCGGAGGTCAAATGTCCGTCACAGAAAACAATCAAGGTAAAGAGATATTTTTCAGGGTGGCCAAATCTTGATCTCCCACAATGGTATTTTGTCAAAGACCAGCTCCATTCCCATTCCTTCCTACTATTAACCTTATACTGTAAAGGCTGTAACATGTCTCCCCATGACCTGTGTGGGTACATGGAGGGAAGAAGTGTCCCTTAGGTTGAGAACACTTGGTGTGATGGCCACTTGCTCTGTTGGTTGAAATTTTCCACTCCCGTATTCAATTAGGTGACACCCCCACATTTATCAGAGCAAGGTATATAATAGAAGAGTAATTTGTGTGGATATGAGATGATGATTTCCTGGATTATTATAGGAATCTTTTGTTGAATGAACGACACTGAAGTCAACTTTGCCTGCATCTTTGAGAGGAAGGAAATAAAATATTTATCACGAGTGGATTTATTTCATTTTGACTTTCTCATATTAAACATGTTATTAACCATCTCTGCATCTCAGTCTCATTCTCTCTCTTTGTCTCTCTCCCACCTTCCCTCCCTCCCTCTCTCCTTCTCATCTTGCTTCTGGAAGTCTTGGAATCAATTATGAAAGCTACAAAGCAGGGGAGTTTTCTATTCAAAAGTTTCTTTAAGTGTCAGGAGCCTTATGTTTATACGTCATCTTATCTAATAGCGTTTTCAATGTTTTCTACATTTTTTAATTAAAAACAACAGAATTACAAAGACTTTGGAACCATATGGGATATTGCTTTAGTAAATGCAAGTACACAATGTACTACTCGCTGCAAGGCATTCTTCTGGACAATGTACATAGTTACTGCATTTTGTTCTCATTACAGTTGTGGGAGATCAAGATTTGGCCACCCTGAAATCTATCTCTTTACCTTGGTTGTTTTCTCTAGGGACATTTGACCTCCCCCACTAACTGCCTAAAGAATTTGACATGGTGGCTCCTTCCTGGAACAGATCTATCATGATGGCTATAAAGATAATGTAGGATGGAGATTACAATAGGAAAGACACCAACAAGCCCCTCTTATCAGAACTTCTGTCTCTCGGGCCACATTCTCTGGATGACCCTGCGAGGAGTTGCCAGACAATCATTTACATTTATAAGAGAAATCCCCATTTGTAAAGGTATCTCCCTCTCTGTTTTGAGAAGAGGCGGGATGGCCTCATTTCTAGAGGCTTATCAATGTGGAAGTTGAGGCTTTAAATCTGCATAATAACCTTACTCTTGTTTACTGTGCTTTAGTGGTAATCTCCTGTAACCGACTCCCCCCACCCCCAAAATCTTCCTTTGTCATTGGCTGAACATGGTATTTAAGACGAGAATTTCTGCTATTGTGTTGAGAAACGCAGTGTCCTTGCTTTCTCCCATGTATACGTGTTATTAAACTTGGTATTATTTTCTCCTGCTAACCTGTCTTGTTAATTATTTGGCCAGCCATAAGAACCTTAAGGAAAAGGGCAGAGGGAGATTCTCCCTCTTCCCCCTACACAGTCCAAGCAGTGTACTTAAACTTAACAAAAATAAGATACTAGGTACTTAAAATAAGTACTTAAAAATAAGGTAATAGGTACTAAGCCTACTTTGCTTGTGAGAATGCTAACATTGGAGAAATTTAAACAAATTCCCTGATTCCCCACATCTAGGTATGGTGAGAGCTGGTACAAGAACTCTCATCTGCATTCTCAAAACCCTGTGCTATCTACCTGCCTCCTTGCAGGGAAGCAGATAAATATTTTTCTAACTTAACTAAATATCCATCTCTCTTACTTACAGTCACACAATAAAAGCCCGGAATGAATGAGCCACTATACTTTGTCTTTTAAATCCGTCCCTCCTTTTGTTCCACTGAAATCCTTCTAACAAGCAGTAAGAGCTGAAAACAGCTCTATTTTTCACATCCCCAGCCTCTATAAGGATCTTATGCAAACCCATTCTAGAGCTTTATACCTTGCGTTGCTCTGGGGAAATATAAGCCCTCAGTTGAATTGAACTTCTAGGATGTCTATCCACATGTGTGGTAATCGTGGTTTAAAAGAGGATGTAGTATGGAGAACTGGTTCTAAGCGGGATTCTTAGATCTAAAGCACAATACTTGACCTGGCTGGTGTCTTGTTGTGGATCAAAGCAGTTGCTGGCTATTTTAGATACCTCATATAAGTAGAATTGTACAGTATTTATCTTTCTGTGACTGGCTTATTTCACTTGGCATCAATATGTCTATGTTCATCCATGTTGTCACATATATTAAAATTTCCTTCTTTTTTTAAGGCTGAATAATATTCCATTGTATGTATATGCCCACTTTCTTTATTCATCCATCATTGGGCATTCATGTTGTTAGCACATCCTCTCTACTGTGAATAATCCTGCAATGTACCTGGGAGTGCAGGGATCTCTTTGAGATCCTAGTTTCAACAGAAACAATGAGTGGAATGGTGGTTGCCAGGGACTGGGCGGGGGAGACAAAAATGGAGGGTTGCTGTTCAACAGATATATAGTTTCAGTAATGCTCTAGAGATCCGCTGTATGACATTATGCTTATAGTTAAAAATACTGTATGGCGCACTTAAAAATTTGACAAGAGGATAGGTCTTGTGTCATGTGTTCTTACTAGAAATTGTTGGGACTTGGCTTGAGTAGGTTATCCATGTTTTTTTCCCAACAGATTTGGGTATTGGACAATTCCCAGTAAAAAAGATCTCTGGAAAATAAGACCACCCAATTCTGTTGCTTTTTCCCTTCTAACATCACCGTCAAAAGTCCAGATAAAGAAGGAAAAAAATGAAGAGAAAGGATGTATAGATAGTTAAAAAAAAAAATGATGATTAGCACAAAGGAAGAATATAATATTGCAATAATAGAAATTGAAACAGAAATAAGGATGTAATATGGTTAATAAGAAAATAGAACTATTCTTAATATGATTAAATGATAACTTGGGCAAAATGTCAGATACGCCTTTTACTTATTTGTATCTTAGATATTTTCTGCTCCCGCATATTTACTGTTTTTTTAAATGTCTTATGTGAGGTAAAGATTAGTATCTTTGATTATATATATTAATTTTTTATCAAATAGTTAGACATATGGCTTTTTAAAGTTTGAAATATTTGGAAAATAATTTAGGATCCTTTATATCAAGGAGGGAAAAAATTGCATGTTTGGAATATAATTTAAGCTCCTTTATACTACTGAAGAAAAATAATTCAATTAATAGCCCCACTGTGTTTGTTAAAGCTCTAAATATGTAAACCATCTTTGATATTCCTGTGATTGTCATCAGCATACACCATTCTTGGCAAGTACAAAAATATTTTTTTTCAAACCTGTGACTTAGTGCTTTAGTTGCCTTTTAGCTATTTCTCAAAGCTCCTTGAAAAAGTGCTCTTTATTTTTTCCTCCACATTCACTCTTTACAGCAAGGATATCTGGCTTTAAGGGACTGGATAAGCTTACAAATAACTTTTTAAATTGCCAAATGTATTCATTGCATTGTTCAATCCATCTTTCCATACCATTGGATATTCTTGATAGTCTATTTCATCAAAATAAATGATTCACCCTTTCTTTATTCCCTAGCCAACTGTCTCCACCTGAAGTGAAAGTCCTTGATCTTTGATTTCTAGCCACCAGAACTGTGATGATATAAATATCTGTTACTTAAGCCCCCCAGTCTGTGGTGCTTTGTTATGGCAGCTTCAATATGTGAATTTTGGGGGGACACAATTCTGTCACAGCAGATCTCAATGCTTTAGTCTTCTGCACACTGATAAAGAGTTTAAAGATTACCATTTAGACAAATGAAATCAAAAAAGTTATTTTTTGTTTTGTTTTGTGTTTCCTTTGAAGTGGAGCACCTTAAACAATATTAGCTTGAGAAACAGGACTGGTGTTGGAGCAGGGCAAATGGTAGAAATCGAAACGATCAACCACAAGACCAATGTGGAGCCAATGGCCCACTGGAGGAATGATGAATGTCTGCAGTAAGAGTGAGTATCGAGAAGTGAGTGCATATCAGAGTGTTATGAGATTGTTGGATGAGAGACAAGGCATCAGTAATCCATCATGTCTGCTATTCTTAAACCCAAACCACAGCTCTCCAGTGAACAGCCTTAATACTCACAATTAGCCGTGGAATATAGTCCCATCAATCCCTGAAAGGCAGAAACAAAATTCCTAGTCAACCACAGGGTGGTCTGTATCCTGATTCATATCATAGCATTTATACCTGACCCGGACGTTTTTTGTCCATCAAGAAAGATTTTATTTTTTATTTTGTGTTCTAGTTCTTATTTCTATCAAGAATTCAGCCATTATTTGGGCCACCAGACCAGGTAGTTAGACACTAGAGCTGAGTTCTCTAACTGGGGGCAATTGTGCACGTTTCCCAGGAGACATTTGTCAATGGCTGAAGATATTTTTGGTTGGCCCTCTAGAAGGTGGGGTATACAATACTGGCATCTAATGGGCTGAAGCTAGGGGTGCTGCTAAACATTCTACAATGCCCAGGAAACCTAACAAAGACTTTTCTAGCTCCCAATGTCAATATTTCCATAGCTGAGAAAACTTGCTCTAGGAGTTTAAAGGGTTCTGCGGGTGATGCCAAATTACTCATTATATGGGTGCATTTATGGCATCCAAATGAGTTGGGATCTGAGAGGCACTGAACTAACCTTGGAGTGTGGCAACAGGAATCTTGCTCCAAGACACTCAGTCGGCCAATCCAGTGACCTTGGATAATTCTAACTCTGTGCATCTGTTGCTTGATCTCTGATAGAAGAACTAGTCCCTGGACTGGGAATGATTCTGCATGTCTCAAGTGACACCCACAGTCCCTGCTCATGCCATAGTGCTTCAGCAAGATGGGCATATGCCATTTTTGAAAAACCTCCTCTCCTACTCTTTCTCAAGACAGAGATGTTAAGGCGAATAACAAGACCTCAGTTGGCAAATTTGAGTCAGCCTCAGCCCGTCTCCTTTGTTTTCCTTTGTGTGGAAACATCCCTTGTGTTCCTTGCTAAACAACAGAGAGAACAGAGAATACCTTGAGCCATAACTGCTTCCAAAGCTAGGCAGCAATGCAAAGACACTCAGGAGTCAACATCTAATATCCAGTTATGCCCCAGGATCAGACAGGACTGTGAGGCTTGTCCACAGGTATGTAGCTTTGGAGACCTCATTGGGAACATTGATTTTGAGTGACCTAAATTTGTCCATCCCTGGCCACAAGCCTAGTTTTCTAAAATTTTTGTAAAAGAAGAATTGACAAGTATATGTGTTATATGCTTTTATATAACATAGTTCCAATGCATATACAAAGCTTATATGCTTGGCAGGGAGAAAATAATATATAAGTGACATATTTGTTGTTGAATTTATCCACGAGAAAAGCCAGCAGATCAGTCCCAAGCATAGCAGTTATTTCGGGGAAGCCGGGATGCCCATTTCTTCACACGTAAATCAGCTTCCTATTCAGCCTTAAAAGGTCATACAAAGAACAAAGCGTCTTTATGATTCTTTACTCACGCTTTACAAATATAAGAAAATAACTCTTGAGTCTAGATGAAGAATAGGAAGATGGGACCTTTAAAATCAAATGACTATCATTTTTATCAACAAAAATAACATAATGAGTAGTTTCCATTATATTTTGATTTCTGTATAGGTTACATTATGTTCACCACCCAAAGACCGATAGCTAGCTTCTTGGACTAATCTCAGAATTCCAAAGTGTTCTATGTTCCTTCATTAACAGGTCTGTCAATACCTCCACCAGACTGGGGGTGTCATGAATGAACCCAGGAAATTTGATCATTACTCTGAGTCTATGATCTCAGGAGGAAAAAAGATTTAAAATTCTCTTTCTTCCTACAGCACAGCCTCTTTGGGATCACTGAGGTGACACTGCCTCTGTCTCAGATAAAGTCAATCACTTTATTTGAGATTAATGAGATACACAATCAAATTCTGTAAATATCCCTGTTTCCTTAGCATCTGTATAGGATTCTATAATTGGTAACACACTCTATATTCGTAGACTCAGCTCTTACCCCAAACCACTGTGAAAAGGGGTATGATTGCCCTCTTCTTAATTTTTGAAAGTTAAAAGGGTGAAAATATTTCTTCTATCCCTATAGATCAAGTTGGGTTATAGAAGTTGGAAAAAAAGAGAATAATTTTTAGACTTGTTTTTGCATGTACATGTTTACTTATTTATTTTTTTGTCTAATATAACATCAGGCAAAGTATGTTTAATTCTTTCCTCAGTAAGAAACAAAAATGGTTGTATGATGAATAATTTCCAAATCAGATGAGTAAAAGAATCCAGAGAATTGACATGAGATGTTTCTCCACAGTCATCATACCCCTTGAACCATTCTCTTGTTCTACTCTCTGACCTTTCAAGATAAAGAACAAAACATAATAATAATGTTTTAACCTGTTTCTTAAACTCATCCTTTGCCTTCTTCGTACCCCAAAATGCGAAGACTAGTGTTCATTTGGATTGCTTCCTTTTAATTTTCTATTCCTCTGCTCTTGGACTTAGCCATTTTTTTTTTTAACATATCCTATTATATTTTTATCTGTGCGGTTGCCATTGTAAGAAAGAGGAAATAAATTTCTGTGTCAGAAAGCGATCCAACCTCCTTCACCCTCCTGATAATCATCAGGAGATATTTTTCATCAGTCTCACTCAAACATCTTTATTTGGTTCTTGATCTGCGGACTAAAGCATAAACTTTCACCATTAAGTTTAAATATTAGATGTAAGTTTTTATTTGAATTTTCTCCTGAATATAGGTCTGTAATAATACGTACTTATTCTCTCCTATGTTTACCTATGTAATAACCTTTACCAGTAGTCTGTATGTCTTTACTTAATGAACCTTCAAGCTACCATCTGACATTATTACTTCACAGCCTGCTAGCCTTCTTTTAGTATATCTTCTAAATCAGGTATGCTAATAACCAGTTCTATAAGTCTATCTGTGAATGTCTTTGTTTTGCCTTTTTGTTTGAAGAATTGTTTTGCTGGATATAGAATTTTTCTTTGATAGTCTCTCTTTTTCTCTTTCAGCACTCGACATACAGTCATGTGTTGCTTAACAACAGGGATACGTTCTGAGAAATGCGTTGTTAGGTGATTTTGTCTTTGTGCACACATCACAGAGTGTACTTACACAAACCTAGACGGTATAGACTACTACACAGGTAGACTATGTTGTGCTAATCTTATGGGGCCACTGTCACCATATATGCAACTTGTCGTTGACTGAAACGTCGTTATGGGTCCCATGACTGTATGTCATCCCACTGTTTTCTGGTTCCACCATTTTCGATGAGAAGTAAGCTGTAATCATTTGGAGGTTCCTTTGTACTTGGTTATTCATATTTCTCTTGCAGGTTTCAAGATTTCCCCTTTATCTTTGGCTTTTGACAATTTGCCTACGATACGTCTAGATATGAGTGTCTTTGAGTTTGTCCTACTTGGACTATCTTGAGCTTCTTGGAAGTATAGATTAGTTGGGTACTTTTTTCATCATATTTGGAGAGTTTTCAGCCAATACATTTTCAAATAAATTTTCTTTTTCTCTCTCCTTTTTTTCTATAACTTCCATTTATATGTATGTGTTACCCTTGATGGTATTTCACAGCTTTCTGGGGCTCTGTTCATTTTTCCTCATTCTTTACCCTTACTATTCTTCAGCGTGGATAATAGCTATTGACTTATCTTCACATTGACTGATTCTTTTTTCTTCCAGGTCAAATATGCTGCTTAGTCACTCCGGTAAATTTTTCATTCATTTTATTATAATTTTTCAACTCCAGAGTTTCAATTTCCTTCTGTTTTTTTTTTTTTTAGTAAGTTTTATCTCTTTATCAAAAGCCTATTCTTTTATGTGTTATTTACATTATACTTAGCTTTAATTATTTAAACATCATTTCTCTTGCTTGTTTGAACATGTTTATAATGGTTGATTTAAAGTACTTTTTCTAATAATGCCAATATCTGGGGCTTTCCATTGATTTGTTTTTTCTTCTTTATGGGCTATCCTTTTCCCTTTGTTTTCATATTTAGTAGATTTTTTTATTTTGTTTTAAAATTTGACTTTATTTTGGTGAGGAAGGTTGGACCTGCGCTAACACCTGTTGCCAATCTTGTGTTTTTTGCTTGAGAAAGATTGGGCCTGTGCTAACATCTGTGCCAGTCTTCCTCTATTTTGTATGTGGCTTGCCACCACAGTATGGCTTGATGAGTGGTGTAGGTCCGTGCCTGAGATCTGAACCCATGAACCAGGGCTGCCAAAGTGGAGCATGCTGCAGCTAATCACTACTCCACCAGGCTGGTCTCTCAAGTTTGACATTTTAGATCATTACAGTGTAAGAAATCTGGATCCTGACTTCCCTTGGGAATGTTATTGTTTCCATTTTTTGTTTTATTATTATTGTTAATGAGGAGCTCAAAAAAACTCATTTTTTTGTTTAGTGACTTGCCTGTACTAATTCTGTAGAGTCTATATGCCCAACAGTGTGCCACCACTGAAGTCTCTGCTCAGTTTTTTTTTAAATTCTTCTTTTTATTTTCAAGTTTGACTTACTAGAGGTCAGCCCTGAGTCAGCATAGCTAGTACTCAACCAATGATTGTTGCGTTTTTCTTAAATAACTTGTGTCAACAAGGTACACACATCTTGCCTGCACTAAGAGACCTTGCATGCAGTTTGCAACACGCATTCCGAGTTCATGCAGTTTACAACGAGCCACGATTGAGTAGGTTACCGATTTGCCCTCTTTTGTCTTTCCTGGGCATTGTTGCTGCCCTGCACATGCACACAGCCTTCCAAATCCCCAGGAATATACCAAGGGTTCCGAAGTTGTCTAGGCCCCGTGTCAGCTCTCATGTCTCCCTTTTATATTTTTGCATTGTCTCTTGCCTGCTCCAACAATATGACCGTTTTAGGTAACAGTGATGCTCTCTTTTCCTGTCATTTACCACCTATCATTTACCACTGATTTTGAAAACACCTTTGATACGGGACTTTTATGCAGACCTGCAAATAAAGTCAGCCCACTCCATCAGCAGCGAGGCTGCTGGCCTTCAGGGGTGGGGTAGAACAGTGACAGCGCCAAGAAAAACACCACAGATTCTATACTTTGTCATCAACATTCGGTAGTTTTTCTTGAAAAAACATTGTTCATATTTGTTGTATGTGTTAATTAATTTCCAGGATTCTGAAATGCTTGTCTTTGATAATTTCATAATTTTGTGAGTTTCAGAATTGTTTTTTGGAGGAGAGAATTTTCTGAGCTCCTTATTCAGTCATTCAAGATCCTATACCCATCTTTGGGTTTTTTGCCAAGTGAAGCTACTCCCTTAACCCATCCCGTTGGTAGAGTTTGGTTAAGAAAGTTCAGATCTCCTACATGATAAACATTTTGCTCACAGCTAGTGGATAATTAGGTATCCTGTCCACCTAAAAAGAGACCATTGCTTTATGTAGGTGTCCTGGTGCTATGGTCCTCTAATCATAATGGGGTTCTGTATAGTCTCTGGGCTTTGTGCATTACACATACAAGTACTTTGTCTTATTTAAAGATTTTATTTATTCAGTTTTTTCCCCCCAAAGCCCCAGTAGATAGTTGTATGTCATAGGTTCACATCCTTCTAGTTGCTGTACGTGGGACTTGGCCTCACGTTGGACGGAGAAGTGGTGCCTCGGGGCGCTCCCGGGATCCGAACCCGGGCCGCCAGCATCAGAGCGCGCGCACTTAACCGCTAAGCCACGGAGCCGGCCCACAAGTACTTTGTCTTGTATTTTAACTTGATTTTCTTCCTGTGACTTAGCCTCTTATCAGATTTTGGCTACATGCTCACCTTTGATGACTAATAATCATACTCTAAGGAAAAATCTGGTCTCGTTCTCCAGAAAAGAGCTATAAGTGGATGAGTAGTGGTAAGTCTATACCAGTAGGGACTTGCTCTAAATTATGGCATTAGTCACATTATGCTGCATTCTACTAAATCCCTGTCCACAACCCCTGGTCACACATTAACGCTGCTCAGCCACATAATGATTGAGATGTTTTCTGGTGTCAGTTTGGAAAACAGAGGCTCTTTTTTGAAGTACTGTGACCATCCAGTCCCGTCTCTGAAATGATACCTGGTGGGAAATTTACATCGCATTATAAAGGTCCCATCCATGATGCTTTAGCTTATATTTGCCCCTCTCACCAGGACACTTCCAGGAGGTACTCTATTAACCCTAACCAGAATTATCTCCTGTTCCATTGTAAACCCAATTTTCTGGATAGTTGCATTC